TGTATTCCGCCCAAGAATGGCGTAGGTTCTGGCTGTACTTTCGTAAAACCTGGCTGGAACGGTATTTTATTACGGAGTGGGATGTTTTCGGCATCGCGAACTCGGTAGTTGCTCGCACTAACAACCCCTTGGAGAGGTTTAACCGCGAAATGAATGCAGCTTTCAAGCCCCATCCCAATATGCGCCAGTTCGTTTCAACGATAGGCGGAATGTCAAGTGCCTACGCCAAGAAGCAGGCCAGCACCACTCGAGGACTACGCCGGAAGAAACAGCGACTACCTCGAATAGCACTTCCACCGGTACCTGACTTGACTGAGTTTGAAGTGCCACCTGAGTCGGACAGCAACGAAGCCGGTTTTGAAGAGTCTGATGTTTCCCTTGAGTCACTCGGTAGTGTAATTGATGACAACCTGGGCCTGGGTGGAAATACATCGTCGGACGAGGAGCCTATAGGTGATGCTACTGCTGAGGATCTTATAGGTGCAGTGGCCGCCTCAAAAGACTCAGAGCAGAGGATCACAGAGGCTGCTAACGTGTACGACAATTCATTGGACTGGGAGGAGATCAGGAGGCTGGCGAGGAGAGCAGCTCAGAAGATGACTAATGGTACGTTGCTACAGAACAACGATGAGCTTAAACTGTATGGCTGTACTTTTGAACTGGTAGCCTCTTGTATACGATAAACACACCATTTTAGGATCGGATGTTTGCACTGACATGATGATTTGACCTGGAAAAGAGCCAAGGCAACAGCAGTGGCAACTTTTATGAAGTTTTTTAAAAACTGAGAATGTAAGTGATGAGTATATACGGATTTGCATTGATCGTGATGAGACTGGAAAGTGTTTCGTATCAAGTTTGGTATGAATCTTGCATTTAGTGAGGGCAAGAAAGGCAAGCAGTTGGCTCGAAACACTTCGATGCAATACTACCGGCAAGCTAAACTATGGCTACTCGAACAGTTCCCTCAGCACAGACCCGCAATTGAGGCTCGGTTGCTTGAAATGGGGAAAAGACTTGAGAGCTTTTGTATGGTGGTGCTTTCATCACCAAAGTCCCACCATGCTCAAAGAGTGATTTAAAAAGAATGCTTACGTATTTGTATGTTAACGCTAGTTGTCAAATTGACTATCAATACGCTGCCTTACTCTGCCTGCTGTGGTATCTGTTCGGCCGAGCGTCCGACCTTGCGCTGCTCCGGAAGCAGAACTTGTCCATCGACGCCGGAAAGGTGCTCTTCGTTCGCTTCATCCGCGTGAAGACATCCGAAGAGCAGGGCTTGTCGATCTTCCCTGACTCGGATGCCTCCTCCTCGCTGTCGCACTGGTGCTTCTCACCCAGGTAGCTCCGTCTGCAAACGTTATAGACAACTTGCCCGAGCAGCCAAGTCACGCCGCCATCGAGCTGGCCCCAGACGTACTGTTGTTGGAGATTCTGGACCACCCGACGATGACACAAGGCCTTGCTGCTCCGTCGACTTCTGGGTTGGACTCGACCCCGACCATCTTTGCCCATGTGAACCGCGTACCGGACCGCATCGCCAAGCTGGATGGTGTCGAGGCTGCGCTGACGTCCCACTCGTTTCGTCGGGGCAGCGCTCAGCACGCGAACGCTTGTGGTCAGCTCACGACTCGCTGGATCTTCGACCGCGGCGCATGGAACATGACCACAACGAATAAAGGCTTCAACTACATCTTCA